GAAACTGATCTTATCGAAATTTTATTATTATAATATTAGTTGAATATTGATCAAATAGCATAGAAAAATAGAGCGAAAGACGCTCTATCTGTTCATTAGAAGAGAAATGCTTTTGAAGCGCTCCTTAAGAAAATAAAGTACCTCTCTCACTACTTTTGGATTGCCCTAAGTAATATAAAGCTAAAAGGTGTTCTCCACACCCTCTGCAGATCCCAAAGAGGTTGGAAGTATTTCTAATCGATTTGTTATAATAGATTATCTATACACTGTCAATATCATTACCCGTATACCACTTTTTTTGTATTGTCACAGTTGACTGCTACCTGGCGACATCTACCCACGGTCTACAAAAAAACCTTTGCTTAGCTATTTACCTCTCTGCATCAGTAGATATTTCAGATGATCTCTTTGAATATTTTCTCTCTTATATAAAAAATAATTTTTTACTTTTGTCTCCCGTGATTCGCTTATCCATAGAATATCTGACAGCCATTATTCCGTATTTTGCGGACACACATATAGAATATATTTATAAATATTTACTATTTTACTTTATCTGGATGATACTACGTGCAATCTACAGAAGACCTAATACAATAAAACGTCATTTTCCACCTAAAAAGCGTTTAGCTCTAATCAGGTTTCAGGTCCAGTTATTAAGTGTAATGATTGTGACGCTGAATACAATAGTTAAAATCATAAGGGAAACCATACAATGTAAAACTGAACTAAGCTAAATCAGCATTAGTTAAACACGTCCTATTAATTTTAACCATATCAAAATTCTAACTGAGATACACACAATTACTGTCCATTAGTTCGAGAATTTTCTTTAGTTTAATGGCACTGATTGATCAGTACTCCTTTTTGTGTTTGCAGAAGGCCTTATGAATAAAAAAATGCGATCAAACACAAAGTAAAACAGTAAATCCTATACATCTGTCTTTTTCCTTTTCTCTTTCGTTTTATTTTATTTTGTGTTATTTAATCCCTCTCTTCTATATGTATGTGGACCATCATAACCTTTCCAGTATATTTCATATATGTATATAGATATGTAACTGCAGACGAATTTTCTTCAAATAAGTAGGAATTTTTTCATTAATGATGAATCGCCAGAGCACAAGACGTGAGAGTGAAGTGTATAGTGAGAAGTTGATAAGTGACATGGTACATAGTTCTCGGAAGAGTCAGTGAGTCTATAAAGTGCACCATGTGCTAATATGTAAAAACTATCAAAAAATATATAAATATAGACTTTATTTTATCTTGTCAATTTGATTCTGTACTTAAGGGTACTCACCTCTTGTTTTACCTTGTTGATAAAACGCGGAGCACACGTCCAATCGAGCTCAAATTTATAGCAGAGATAGAACATCGAAAAAAGAAAATCGATGTATTTTTGCCAAGAATTTTCTGAGATATTCTTCTATGGGTTTTCTGCAAAACTCCAGTTTTCATCCAGTCACATTACGACCCCTCGAAAAAATGGTCCGATTTCTTCTATCATGCTATATATCAGAAAAAGTTGAATATATAGAAAAGAAGCGAAAAATTTACGAAACTAAAAACTTGAGATTTTTTAGACTTTGAAGGAAAACATTAAAAACGTCATAACTTTTCAAAGAAGGTCATAGAGAGTTGGGAGTGGTCTCATTTTATAGCCCAGACCTTCTTCTACATTGGGCTGTGTTCAGCTCAAAATGAGAAGTTTTTGCAAAAAACGGGGGCGGGGGACGGATGTACCCTTTACATCAGTGAAACAGATTCTCTTCAGAAAAAAGAGGTTAGACCGCTTACAGGGTGGTAATAGCTCCTTGTTGACACGGTTGGAAATGTCAATAGATTCATCCAATTTTGTTTCTATAGTTGCAAGATGTTTGTCTTGTTTAAATTGTGTGGCCGACACTGAACTCTTTCAAAACCATGAATAAATGAATTATTAGCCGGCCACTTTCACCCCAATCGACGCGAATATTGTGCTGATAGACACTTAAACGCTACCCGTCCACAGCCTTAGTAAAATGAAGAGCTGACTTGAGTTACACTTCATTTTAGATAAAATTATTTCGTGATGAATGATAATGTTGCATACGATAGTTCAGCGATACCGTATTTTGATGATGATCGTGATCTGAGTCGATATTCTGACCATTTGACCGTTTGGCTGGATAAGTATATCGGTCGCCCGGAGGAAAGTGTCGGGTTAAAAGCTCAGTTTAAAACGATCACACAGCCATTGGAAACTTTAAATAAAACTGAAGAAGATGTCGATGAAACACCAAATGTGATGATTAACCCAGACATGTTAGAAAAATTGAAAGATCGAATCTACTGTGTGAAAGCTTTCTTTGATCCTGCCGAATGTTTAAAATATATTCGTTCAAATTCTGATAAGAAAATATTTTTCATTTCATCGGGTTCAATGGGCGAAAAAATTGTACCGGATATAGCTGCATTACCTCAAATTCATGGGGTTTACATATTCTGTGGCAATATTTCTCATCACGTAAAAACTTGGGCAATGGAGTATGTAGATAATATATCGGCAATGTTAGAACATCAAGATGATTTACTGGTACGCTTAACAAAAGATATTGCTGAATATTTACAAAATAAGGGTGATCATCATTTCACACAAGGAGAAAATGTTAAAGCGCGAAACTGTTATGCATGGGCTACCAAATTAATATTACGTACACAACAACTGGGAGACACAAATTATAAAAAACCATTAACAATTCTTAATGCTAAAAGAGAGAAGGCAGAATCGAGCTGTGAATCGTCCCAATAGATCCAGCACGACACCTGACTATTTTATACATTTTATTTACCAAAATTTAGTCCGCATTCGACGACAAATTAAATAATAAGCATTGAAACTACTACGCTGACACATCCAGATAAACGTGATAAAAGCTATATTCCAGAAATGGCAACTTATCAAGGTCAAACTTCGATTGAAATTTTATTCAGTTTGATAGGCTTATGGTTTGTGATTGACACATTCTGAATTAATCTCTTCTCTGTA